CCCCGGTCCGGTACGGGGGCAACACTGAGGGTTGCGATCCGTTGCCAGACACGGAAAAAGAGAAAAAAAAAAATAATAATAAAAAATAAAATAAAATAAAATTAACAGCACCCAAAGCCTGACCGGAGTCCAAAGCTCTAGGGGCAAACCACCAAAGGACTGCCCAGAGATGCTGTGGAAGCCCAGAGAGTGACCAAACCATCCCCACCACACACAGCATTCCTGAGCCAGGCTGGCTGCATACTGGGTTTATTGCAGAGGCATCTCAGGGCACTAACAAGGGCCCCTGCTGTGCCTGGGGTGGGGTGAAGAGCACAGCAGTAATGAGGGTCCCCCGAGAGCAGAGGCACAGCAAGAAGGAGAAAAGGGTGGGGCTTCGTCCCCAGGCTCATCCCACTGCCTCTCAAAGGAGAAAGACATTATTGCCTTACTGTGCTGACATTCTCTTACTCAAAAAGTTGGCACCTGGGGTGGGAAACTCAGTACAGATCCCAGGCTGTGAGATGGCCCCAGTGAGAACCCGTTGTTCATTACAGTTCCTTCCAGAGACTGGGTCATATCACAAGCCCTAGCTCATGATTACATGTGTCCTGTCACTAGTACACATGACCCCCACTTAACCAATCTTCCGGATCTTAACATGGCAGCTCAAGTGGTGAGAGTAAGAGAGTTTGGGTCCCAGGAGCCCAATAAGTTCCTCTTCCCAGTCTCCATTTCTCAGAAACAGTGGACCCCTAAATGTCTATCAAAGCGGGAGCTGTCCACCTAGTCGGCCTAAGGCCAATCACAGAACCCACTTACAAGACCACAGAGGTTTCATCCAATCATGGCAGAAGGCTGGCTTGACTCCTGCCCTCACTGGATGATGCTGTCTGGCTGCCCATTCTGGGCCACCTGTCCAGGGTCAGAGGTGGGGGCTGGGGTGGGTGTGTTGCTCTGCAGGTAGCGGCGGAAATCTTTGATCATGGGCCGGAGAACCTGGATGAGGACACTCAGGGCTGCCTGGGTACCCTCCATGGCCTGGGCCTGGCGCTCCTGGGCACAGGCCTGCACCTCCTGTGAGCGGCGGATCATCTGCAGCAGGTCATTCTGCTGTTCCAGGTGCTGAGCGATCTCCTTCACATGCAGATTAGTGACCCGCTGCTCCTGTATCAGCTTGGCGGAGTTCAGGGCGATGCGGCTCTTGAGCGCTTGTGGCTTGACGGACGTGTCTGCGGGCTGGGCCATCATCTCCACAGGGGCCTCGGTTGGCAGGGGCGGGGGGGCCTCAGCCGTGCAGTACTCCACCACCCCCTCCTCCAGCGTGTGGTAGGTGGTCTCTGTGGGGACTGCAGGGAAGAAAGAGCAAAGGCCAAGGCAGGTCACTTTCATGAATGAATGAGGCTGGCCATGTGGGGTGGGGAGGAGGCCGCTAAGCCCTGCCCTGGAAGGAGATAAAGGGAAATTCAGGCCTCCCCTGGTTTTATAGCTGTTTATGTATAAATCTAGAATCTAAAGCATTCTGAATCTTAATCTACTTGGTAACCAAAGGGTCAGCCCCAGATCTGGGAAAGCAAAGATGCTAATAAAAATACTAACGAAGATTTTAGAACACCTATGTGCTAGGCACTTTGCACTCATTAGATAGATGAATCCTGATAATGACACCACAAGGTAGGTACTGTCATATCATCTTCATTTTTAGAGAGGAGAAAACAGACTCAGAAAGATGCAGTGGCTTGCCTAAGGTCACAGAGTTTATTCAACAGGGCCAGGAAGCAAACCCAGGTCTCCACAACACCAGAGCCCAGTGTACTCATAACCACCCCGCTGGGCTGCTTCTAGCTAAGAAAGGAACCTCAGAGGCAGGGTCACATGCTCCCCTAGTGGCAGCACACAGCAGGCTTCTTGGGTGGACTCTACATAAGCGGTTTGCAGCCACACTAGTCCTACCTCCCTTGATATTTTCCTTTTTTAAAAATTTTATCATTACACAATGTAAACATTGTTTGTGGTTCTTTACCATTGACATTTTCTTGACTTCCATGTTCCTTGGAGCCAAGCAGAAAAGGAGGTGGGAATTGGGTGGCTGCAGCTAAAATGGGAGGTGGGAATTGGGTGGCTGCAGCTAAAATGCCTGATAAATGTCTCCATCTCTTTGATCACCTTGGTCAAGGGGATAACTAATGGGTCCTTCCTGTTCCAGAACAGTATCTGATTTAGACTAGTGTTTGTTCTGCTTTTCCCACCTCAATATATACTTAAGAAGTATGACACTGGAGGGGGATGGCACTCAGCACCTGCACCTACTCCTGTTTCCCCAAGCCTCACTTAGAACCACTGATTTATGCACTTCACAGCCCATCACAAACAAGCAGAGTTAACGTCATTGGCATAAACCCTTAACTAAATTAAAAAATCCAACCAAAGTTAGTTCTGTTGTCATTCATAGCTAAGAACCTTGGAAGGAATCCTAGGTGGGCTGCTGGGCCTCCATGCATGTGAGAGAAGTCAGTCTTCTCCACCTTCACATGCCAACATCAACTGTGTGTCCCCAGTCCCACCATGAAGCCCCCTTCCCCTTCTGAGTCCTTAGGTTTTCCCAACTGATATTGAAGCTAGTCATTATGTGTCTTACCTGTCCTACTAGAATATAACTGGCTTATATTTTAGACACCTTGGTAATTCCAGTGCCCAGCACAGGGTTTAGCACAGAGTAAGTGCTAATGTTTGATGAATGAATGAATGAATGAACTAACACCAGGAGCCATGAGGTTCCTGAGCAGTGCCTGATAAATGTTCGGTGCACAGAAAACACAGAATATCTTAGTCCAGAATCGATGTCTCACTTGGGCATTATCATTATTCCCATCTATTCATTCAACAAATATGTCCTGGCTGCCTACTATGTGCCAGGCCCTGTGGGGATACAGACATGGTCTCTGTCTTCAAGGACCACACAGTTCAGTAAATGGAGTTAAGTCATGGACAGAAATGGTGGGAGAACACAGCAGAGAGCTATCCAGCGCATCAGAAGTCCCAAAGAGAACAAGAGCCTCATGGTCTTCCAAGACCCCCATCTGACCTTTGACCCTTGGCAGCCAACCTTCCCCAGGCCGCCCCATCGTTTGTTGGCCCTTCCCATTTATGCAAGCTGAGTGGGCAGGAGAGGTCACTCACTCTGTGTCAGGGTGACCGTGGCTGCGGCTGCAGTGGCCGTAGGTCCGAGGGTCACGGGGTGGATCTCTGTGGCAGTGGGCAGGCTGATGATGGTGGCCTCCCCTAGCAGGTTGCAGATGCGTTGCTGCATGGGGGTCAGCAGCACAGGAGCTACAGCTGGGCCACCGCTGCCGCTGCCACCGCCTATCGCAGGCCCACCGGTTCCATCCTCCTCAGTGGGCCCCGGGGCCTCGCCACCCTCCACGGCAGCCCGGACCTGGGCAACCTTGCGACGGACCTCGGTCTTGAGGTCCGACCACTTCTTCTTGACCTCGGGCAGCTCCCTGCGGCAGGTGGCCACGGCGTTGACCCTTCTCAGGATGCCCTGCCAGGCCGCGCTCTTGGCAGCCAGAGGGACTCCGGCGTTGAAGTGGTTCACCAGCAGGTGCTTCTTGAGCTCCAGCTCCTCCACGATGATCTCCACCTCCCGCTCAGAGAAGTTCATCTTCCTCTTCTTGGCTGGGACGGCCATGGCATCTCACCTCCCCTCCTTTTAAAGAAATTATAATCCCATCAACCGCCCCAATTCCCCTTCTCTTCTTCCTGAGCCTCACCCCTCACCCAGCCCCCCTATAGGGGATAGGCTGGGCTTGCTCAAGGCCAAGCACCAGGCCTTTGGTAACCCCCCTCGCTACGCAAAGTGCGTAGGGCCCAGCCCCGACCGGTCCGGCCGCTGCCAGCCAGCTGCGTAATGGCTTCCTGAATCTGCCTCTTCCGCCGGGGTGTGCGGAGATCCGCCCACTTTCCCTCTTCCCGCCTTCTAGCGCTTCTCCAGGGGAATCCGCCCTCCCGGTTGGCCGCGGCTCAAACATCACGTCGATCATTGGCTCTTTCCATCTGTAGCTCAGCTAAAGATCACGCCTATTTACTGACATTAGCCTGTTCATTGGTCTAAAGGAGTGTCTGTCGCTCCAGAGCGCTCCGCCCACCTAGCCTTTATTCACTTTCATTGGAAAATCATCCTGTCGTTCAATTATCAGTATTACGACTTTCACGCCCTTAAATTCATCTACTTAATTGATGGTTTAGGGAGTTAGACTACCAAAACCGCCTTCTAAGAATAATTTGTGCTTTCAGCCTTGAACCGCTGGCCACTTAATTTTTAATTCCACCCACGGGCGCAAATTCTGCCTTGCAACTACAGTTCACAATTGCTCTTCCAGAAGTCCTATTTCCCACCAGAAGCTGCGATCTCTCCGTACACGACTGCTCCCTCCACCCTTACGATCTCGCAGTCTAAACTGCGTTTCTCAATGGAAGTTGGACACAGGACCTTCCGCCTGCCAATCACGTGACTCCTGCCTATCACTGCGTGGTTTACCCTCTCTGGCCCGGCTCAGCCAATCCCCGCCTCCCTCAGTTTGAATCGGCCCCAGGCTGAGCGGGGTGGCCCCGCCCTCTCCATTGATCCGCGTAGTACTGGCGGTGTGGGCAGTTCTCCAGCAGGCTCCGCCCCTCTCCCCTCCCCGACTGTGCGGCCGTGCGGGCCTGTGACTGGCCGGCGGCGCGCCTGGGGGCGTGGCCAGCGAGGCGGCACA